GCCTGCCTTGGCCTCCCAAAGTGCTGGGATTACAGGTGTGAGCCACCACGCCTGGCCTGCTCTAAGATATTTTACTCATCCTTCATGGCTCTCCACCCTGGCAGAGATCCAGCCCAGGCCAATTACATCTGAATCCTCAAAGCAGGGGCCTGAGGGTCTGTATTTTTGAAAGCTCCCTCATATACTTGAGCTCAGAAGTTCAAAAGCAGCCTGGACAACATAGTGAGACCTCGTCACTACTAAAAAATTCAAATGAACAAAAAAATTAGTTGGGTATGGTGGTGCATGCTGGTAGTACCAGCTACTTGGGAGGCTGAGGGGGAGGAGCTGAGGAAGTCAAGGCTGCAGTGAGTCATGATCACACCACTGCACTCCAGTCTTGGTGACAGGAGTGAGACCCTGTCTCAAAAAAAAAAAAAAAAGGAAAAGCTCATTGAAATGACTGTGATGTGCAGTCAGCATTGAGAATCCCTGATTTTACCAGTAACCTGGGGGTTCAAGTGATTCTCCTGCCTCAGCTTCCCAAGTAACTGGGATCACAGTTTTGTACCACCACACCCAGCCAATTTTTGAATTTTTTGTAGAGACAGGCTTTTCACTACATTGCTCAGGCTGGTCTGGAACTCCGGGCTCAAAGGATCTGCCTGCCTTGGCCACCCAAAGTTCTAGGATTATAGGCGTGAGTCACCTTGCCTGGCTGCCTTTGTCCATTCTTCTGTTTTTTAGTATTTGTCTAATTTCCAGTTTAGGAGTATTACAACTTGCGCTGTTACAAATCTTTTTAGTACATGTCTTCTGATAGCCCCATGTATGCATTCCCTTTTTTTTTTTTTCTGAAATGGAGTCTTGCTCTGTCACCAGGCTGGAGTACAACAGTGCGATCTCAGCTCAATGCAGCTTCCGCCTCCCGGGTTCAAGCCATTCCCCTCCCAAATAGCTGGGACTACAGGTGCGCATCACCACACCAAGCTAATTTCTGTATTTTTAATACAGATGGGGTTTCACCATATTGGCCAGGATGGTCTCAATCTCTCGACCTCATGATCCACTCGCCTCGGCCTCCCAAAGTGCTTGGATTACAAACATGAGCCACCACACCCGGCCTCCATGTATGCATTTCTGCAGGGCATATACCCGACAGAAAATGCTGGACCTGAGGAGATGTGTATGTTCAACTTTAGTAGCTGCTGCCAAGTGGTTTTCCACAGTGATGATAGCAATTTCCCTTCCCATCTGCAGTGCGTGAACTTTCCGTGTCCTTGTTAACACGTCTGTCTTTTTCTTGTTACCATTTTGGCGGGGTGTAGAGGAGATTCAAGGAGTTTTCTATAGACTTCAAGTTACAGACTTCTCTTTTTCTTTTGGAGACAGCCATAGAAAGCTATCAAGTTTTCCCCATGACTGTGAATGAGAAGCAGTAGCCCAAATGGTTATTAGCAGCCAACTGCTACCAAGTTAAAAAGGAAGAACTTGATTACATCATTAAGCTGCTGGATCAGCAACCCAATCCATTTCCTTACTGTTTAGAATGGTTTCGCTGTTATCTATATCTGAATACATCTTTAGTGTTCTCTTCCTAAGTGTTTGAGTCTTACAAAATCCTTGTGAACGTGAGAGTTACGGGTTCCTTTATCCTGATGTGGAAACTGATTGTCCAGTAAAACTCAGTAATTCCCCCCAAGGCTGGGGAGATAGCACAGGGTAGAACCAGGGCTAGAATCAGGATTACAGATCCCTGGCCTACTGCTTTTCCACCTTCCCTCTCCTGACAGGAAGTACGGCTGTCATCTCTCATTTTGTGAAAATGGCCATGAGTCCTCTGATCACATAGCTGCATCTCTTTACTGATGCCAAATGATGTAGCGAATATGCGAACAGCCACGCTGGCAAACAGAGGGGCAAACCATGTTTTGTAAACGGAGCTCTAGCAGCTGTGATCCTTGCTTTGCCCTGTTATGAGAAAACTGTCAACCACGTGAGGTGAGTCCCGGGTCCTCTAGGGAAAATAGAGCTGGTGCATTTTACTCATAAATCACCAATAAGGAAATGAAGATGGTGAGAAGAGAAGGAGCCAAAATCGTAGTAGCAATTTCACCTTCCAGCTAGACAGATGCGGAGCTTTAACTAGCAGCTTCCCAACTTAGAAACTCAAGAATATTTCACCTCGTTTTGTACAGCAACAATCCATTGTCAGAAAATTTCAAGGCCGGGCGTGGTGGCTCACGCCTGTAATCCCAGCACTTTGGGAGGCCGAGGCGGGTGGATCACAAGGTCAAGAGATCGAGACCATCCTGGTCAACATGGTGAAACGCCGTCTCTACTAAAAATACAAAAATTATCCGGGCATGGTGGGGCACGCCTGTAGTCCCAGCTACTCTGGAGGCTGAGGCAGGAGAATCTCCTGAACCCAGGAGGCGGAGGTTGCAGTGAGCCGAGATCGCGCCATTGCACTCCAGCCTGGGTAACGAGCGAAACTCCGTCTCAAAAAAAAAAAAAGAAAATTTCAATGGAGCTGAAGACAGTTCAGTGATCTAAAACATCTTCTCACTATAAAACAGACTTTGTGATTCAGCCCAACTGCCCTGTCCGTACAAAACATTGTAAAGTACTCTGCAGTCAACTTGTGCTCATGGCAGGGGTGTAGAACCCATCACTAATCACTTCCAATCACTGCGAATCTGTCTTCAAGCTCCAACTCAACTGAGGAAGTGGCTCCTGGAGCGAAGACTCAAATGCTTGCTGTAGGACGGGCAGCCAAACTGCTCATGTCACCTGCCCCTGTGTAAAATCCTCCAGTGGCTTCACATTGCAATCCCAATGAAATCCACATTCCTTCGTCTGACCTTCAAAGCTCTGCACAGGCTGGCCCTGCCTATCTCTCTGACTACTGTGCTCCAGGCTTGCTGGTCTTGTCTATGCCTTGAACGTTTTATGTTTTTATGGCCTCAGAGACTTTGCAATTCTCCTTCCTCTTCTAGGACTTTCCTCCCTGCCTCATTGTCTGGTTACCTCCTCATTTTTGTGACAAATGTCACCTTCAAGATGATCCCCACCTGACTACCTTCTGTGTGGCAGCACCCTGTCACTCTCTCAGGTTTATTACTGTAAGCTCCAGGACCAGAGACCGTCTTGCTCACCGCTGTATTCGCAATGCCTAGAACAGCAGCAGGAGCATAAAAGATGCTCAGTAACTCCCAGGTGAATAAATTGGTCAATGAATAAAGACGGAGATTAACCACTGGGGTGTGTTCTCTTCTTGGCTACTTGCACTGCAATCATTCTACTTTCACTAGCTGTGTTGCCGAAGAAATATTCCCAGGAAAAGAAAGTACAGAGAAAGAAAAAAAGGCCAGGCATGGTGGCTCATGCCTGTAACCTCAATACTTTGGGAGGCCAAGGTGGAAGCATCGCTTGAACCCAGGAGTCTGAGACCAGTCTGGGCAATAAAGGAAGATTCCATCTCTACAAAAAATACAAAAATTAGGCGGGTAATGGGGCAAGGGCCTGTGGTTCCCACCTACTCTGGAGGCTGAGGTAAAAGGTTTGCTTGAGCCAGGGAGGTAGACGCAATGAGCCAAGATTGCACCTCTGCACTCCAACCCGGGTGACAGGGCAAGACCCTGCCTCAAAAAATAGACAGATAAGATAAATAGAAAGATAGACAGATTCGATAAATAGATACACAGATACATAGATAGATGAAAAAAAACACACCACCACCACAGTAAGGGACAGGAGTGGGGTAACTAGTAGAAAAGGAGATTGGACATAATCTTATACAAGAATGATATGAAACTCTGAGTTCTTTTCCCATACCCTTAGGTCTCTCAGGAGGCTGCATTACATAGATTTCCAGGCTCGCCCAAAAGCCACATCATATGATTTTTTTACGTTTTTAAGAAAAATGGTCTTTTTCACTCAGCAACCATGACCATGGTCCCGCTGCATTGCTGATCAGCCCAGGAGAAGGCATTAGGTTTGTGAAAGATGTGAGGATAAGTGTGACACATCTTTTTCTGGACATGTACCTGTGATTATTAGTACAGGATGGGTCTTACAAAAATGACGACCACCCGTTCCCCACTGCAGTGCGATACCCTCGCCATCCTTAGCACAGAGTGAGTAAATTATGATTAAACCTCAGCTTTCGGAGACCTTCTGGTTCGGGCTTCCCATTTAACAGAGGAAGGTTGAGGTGTGGGGTTAGGGAGCTTTCTACCGACTCGCGATTGGGTCCTGTCCTGAGACCGCCAATTTGGGTAAACTGGCCTTTGGCGGTGGACAGACTTTCCTTCCCCTCCGGAACCGCAGAGAGCAGAGAGGAAGGGGCGGGCGCCAGCGCCAGGGTCTGCAGTTCCCACCGCCCTCCCCCAGGTCGCAGGAGAGGGAGACGGAGATGCTCACGACCAAGTTCAACACCGCGGCTCTCAGCCGGGGTGTCCCCGCATGGCGTCCGGCGGTCCTCCATGCCGCGCCCGTCCGCCCCCAACCCTCGGCGGCGCCCAAGCCTCGGAGGCGTTCGGCGAAGCCCAGGGGCCTGGGGTGCTCAGAGCTGCGGCCAAGACCCTCCTCCCGACGCCAGAGCTCGCGCGGTCGCCTCCCCAGTCTCGGCTGCCTGAGGCCCGAACGGGGGCGGCGGGGCGTGCGCGGAGGGAGAACGACGCGGGGCGCGGGGAGGAGCCAGAACCCGCAACTCCTTTCCCAAGAGGCGGGAGCGTCGGCTCGGGTTTCTTCGGAACGGAAATCGGCCCTTTGCCTGGGTCGCGGTGCTGCCCTGGACCCCAAAAACTGCTCGCCGCAGCCGGCATCCCTGCTCCCCGCCCCCTCCCCGGTCCCTCTCCACCCCGCGCCCCGACCCCGGCCCCTTCCGTGGGCTCCGCGCTCAGTGGGCGGAGACGGCCGAGGGCTGGACCAGGCCAAGCCCGGGGAGCCGCCGGGGTCCCGTTGGGGACTGAGGCCCGGAAGACCCGCCCGCAGCTCGCCGCCCGCGCCGCGCCCACCTGTAGTAGCGGTCATCCTTGAAGGGCGTGAGGTCCTCCTTGAGCTCGCGGTACGCCTCCTGCAACCGCCGGCACAAGTGCTTGAGCTCGCTGCAGAGCGGGGGCTCGAAGGCAGGGTACTCGGCGTCCATGCTTCCCAGGCCCCGGCCCTGCCGCTCCGCCCTTTGTGTCGCCGCCAGCGCCCCCTCTCTCCTCCTAGCGCCGGGGATCCGGCTGCGGCGCGCTGGGCGGGACCGAGGAGGAGGAGCAGGTGCGAGGGAGGTGGGGAGGGGGCGCGCACGAAGGGGACCTGGCGCGCTCAGGGCGCCGCCGCGAGCACGCTGGAAGCCGGGCCCGGCGCCGGTGGGGGCTGGGGGTCTCGGCCCCGCGCCCCACGCCCCGCGGAGGGGGCCTGAATGTGGGAGGGTGCCGTGCCCATCCGCCTCCGCGCCCCTCCACCGCCGCCCTGGGAGAGGCAGAAGGCGGGGGAGGAAGTGCAACGCAAGGTCGTCTGCCGCCCAGGACAGAAATCTCAGTGCCGCCCTCGCCAGTGGCAGCGCTGGGAAGGGAAGACACTGGAGGTGGGAGCATGGAGGAAAATGGGGCTTGGGGGCCGGACCGAGGGCCCTTTCCTGCTGGGAAGGTCAAGGCTGGAGCCGGCTACCGCGTTCAGCACCGCGGACAGCACCCATGGGCGACTTTTAGCTTCTTGAGCTCCGCTTGGCCTAATGCAGAAACATTTAAAACTAAGCCCATCAGAGTTATAGTCATAATAAATATTTTTCTAATGAAGTGTGTCCAAGTGAGGTGCCTCTTCCCACATGTACTAAAACAACCAAAAAAAGTCTAGGAAGAGGAGTTTCTCACTCTCTACAAGCTCAATACTAGTGTGCAAACTACAGACTTAACAAATTAACACGTCTTCATCGGAGTGACTTCTCCAAAGCGTGGTGTGATCTCTTCTTGTGAATTCTTCCAATAATAGGTGGAGAAACAGTCGTTCCAGACGATGTTAGTGCATTTCCATCTGAACCCAGGGGAGGTTTCCCCGAAGATTTGTCCTGCCTGCACTAGGGGAACCTCTTAGAAGTATACTTCTGAGGACAAAATCTACCCAGTTGAACCTACATAATTGTGGAATATCGATCCCAGGAATCTGTATTTGTCCAAACCCGTCAGGCAATTCTGATGACCACTCAGGTGCCAGTGGTCTCAGCATTCCCGTGTTTCCTGCTGTCTGTGCCTATGCTGTCACTCCACCCACTCTTCCTTGCTCTGTATTTTTATTTCTTCTCTCCTTTACACTTTAAAACAGCTTTTCTATGCTAGCCAGCCTCCCATATCAGGGTTTGCACACCTTCCCCTAACTGCTGATCATCTTGCATTGCACACAATTAGGTTTTAACCTTAATTCATTAACACGAGCGTTTGTGTTTAATCATCTCAGGATTTTTTTTTTAAAAGAACTCAGGATTTGGTAATACTCAAAATACAGTGCATAAAGAGGCACACCAAGAAGAACTTAAGAGAACACACATGCAGATTTGTTTTCTGAAGTGAGAGAGACTGTGAGTTCAGGATGTGCCATATTTTAAACATTGTATCTGGCTACAGAGAGCTTATTTTTAGGAGTAATATAGGCCAATCTCCCGGATACATCAAAACACTTAAAAATCCTCTAGGGAGCCTTCCTTAGCTTCTCAAACCTAGTAATTTTTCTACTTCTTTGAAGTACAGTAGCCCCTGGAGGATAATACACCTCTGGCTGCAGCACTGTGAGGTACTAATCCACTTAGTCTGTTCTTTTGTTAGGAATAGCCAGAAATTTGAGATGAAACATGCCCCCCCACACACACACAGTGGCTATACATGTTATGCACAGCTGAGCCACATACTGTACTGTAATTTTTTTGTACATTTTATTTCCCATAGAATTAATGGTTGTCATTTTTAACACTGATTTTTTTTTTTTTTTTTTTGAGACAGAGTCTGGCTCTGTTGTCCAGGCTGGTGTGCAGGTGCAGGGGCACAATCTTGGCCCCCTACAACCTGTGCCTCCTGGGTTCAAGCGATTCTCCTGCCTTAGCCTCCAAAGTAATGGATTACAGGTACCCACCTTCACGCCCAGCTAATTTTTGTATTTTTAGTAGAGACAGGATTTCACTGTGTTGGCCAGGCTGGTCTTGAACTCCTGACCTAGTAATCTGCCCGCCTTGGCCTCCTAAAGTGCTGGGATTACATATTTGCTTGATTTTTAAATATACTTATTAATATAACCACAGATCTCCCACCAATTGTCTAATTTATCTCTTAAGATACTCAGATGCCTGAGACATTCTGTCAATTTCACTTTTTGTGAATGACAGCTCTTCTGGGCCTTCTGACCAGCTGTGGACAAGTTATCTTCACAGCCAGTGGTTGGCTGCCTGTAGGGATCTCTGGGCCATCATCCTGGGACTTCTCTCCCCTCTGTTCTGCTTGAATCCCAAATTTTCTATTTACTGGTAGAAAATATCTGCTACAAGATTTTGAGAAAAGATGCAAAGGGATGTAAATTTTTTGAGGTTGTGGACATAGGTAAATGTTATTCTTTTACACTTACTTGATAGCTTGACTAGGAAGAAAAACTTTGGTTGGAAATAGTTTTTGTTTATTTTGTTTTTGTTTTTGAGATGGAATCTCGCTCTGTCACCCAGGCTGGATTGCAATGGCACAATCTCAGCTCACTGCAACCTCCACCTCTGTTAAGTGATTCTCCTGCCTCAGCCTCCCAAATAGCTGGGATTACAAATGACTGCCACCATGGGCCACTAATTTTTGTATTTTTAGTAGTTACAGGGTTTCACCATGTTGGCCAGGCTTGTCTCAAACTCCAGATCTCAAGTGATCAGCCTCGGCCTCCCAAAGTGCTGGGATTACAGGCATGAATCACCATGCCCAGCAATTGGAGATAGTTTACCTCTAAATTTTGTAGGTATTTTTCCATTGTCTCTTGGATTCTAGTATTGCTGTTGAGAAGTCCAAAGCCATTATAAATCCTGATTCACTTTATACAGACCAATTATTTTTCTCTCTCGAAGGGTGTAAGAGTTTCATTTTGTCCACCGTGTAATGACATTTCAAGATTATGTTGTACATTGGCGCAGACTTTTGTTCTGACAATCTGAATATTTCAGCTTGAAGTCATTTTCTTGAATTGTTTATTTGATAATGTCCTTTCCTCTCCTATTGCTGTTGTCATGCTTATTCTTTCTTTCTGGAACTCCTATTAGTTACATCCTGAATTTGTCCTCTAATTTCTTAACTACTTTTGATTTTTTTTCTGTTTGTTCTAATTTTGTTATTTTCCAATTCTTCTATTAAGATTTTCATTTCTACTACAATGCTTTTAATATCCAAGAGCTTTGATTAGTTCACTGAATAGTTCTGTTCTGGTTTCATGGATACAGTATCTTCTTTTCCTCTCTTTCAAGATTAATGATAATGTTAAAATATCTTCTTTTCCCTTTGTAATTTATTTCCTCTAATTTATTTTTTAATGATTGTGTTTCTATATTTCTTGTTAGAAGTTTTCTTCAGATGTCGAGTATTTTGGTTGAATCCCCTATTTAGGAGTAGAGCACTAAAATGCTTAGAAGCTCTGTATGTGTATGTGTACATATGAACGGGTGGGGGTGCTTATCAACAGCAGGCTTTGTTGTAGGTAATATGGCTGAGCTATTTCCTTAGGGAACTCTTGGTATCAATATTGTTAGGTCTTTCCTCTTAGACTGGTGTCCAAAGGTCACCCACTTGGAATGTGTCTGTGCAACTCCTCCCATCAATGGGCAGAATCGTGAACCTGAGCTGGTTTTGTACCTTTCTTGGACAAGTAAAATGGCTTGGAAATTACACTGTATGTCTTCTGGTCCTAGGCTTAATGGGTATTATAGTCTGTTTCTGTGTAAAGAAGTGTGGATTTTCCTATTGGAGAGACCATGTGAAGAAAGACCCTGAGGATAACAGGCTATGTGGTAGAGACCAGAGACATCCCTGTCCATAGCCAGCACCAACTGCTGGACATGTGAGCAAGGCTATCGTGAATGTTCCAGCCCCAGCCTGGCTCTCAGCTGAAGGCAAGCACATGAGTCACACTAGGTGTAGAAAGTGAAGTAAAGTAAATAAAGATTCCTCTTCAAATTCTCTTAGCCTATTAAGAATAGATAGGAGTCTCTATCACTAGGTTAATCTACTCAAAGGCCTTTGTTACATCTGATAGCTAAAATAAAGAAATCAGGGTATTTTGTGTTCTTAGTTCTCACGTTTTAGCCTAGGTATCTGCCCTGACATGCCTGGATAAGCCTGGGCAAGGCTTATGTCATAGCTTGCTCCTCTTTCCTTAGTTAGAAGTATTTTTGCTTCTCTCAGCATTCCGTAAGCTACTTGCTCTTTTCCTTTGTTCTCCTCTGCCCTTACCTCTTTAGGAAAGTTTTAAGTTGTTAGCCAATCGGGTACAGCCTAGAATGTGAGGTCTGGTTCCAGCCAGTAGAATCAGGACACAGCAATAGGGCCAGATGCATTAGACATAAATATGCCTGTTCTTCCTTTGTTCAGTGCACTCTTGTGACAAGACTGCTGGTGAAAAGAAAGTAAAAGAAAGCCTTGCTGAGAAACCTTTTGTCTGAATGCCGATTCTTCCCTGCGATGTCAGAAGATAAGCACTTATTCCCAACAATTTGGTGACCCGTATAGGTAGGCATTCCCCTCTGTGGTGGTCTCTGGCCCTTTCTCATGGGGAGGTATGCCCCACCACCTTGTTGTGGCATCCCTAGGGATAGAGAGCCAGGACCCACTCAGTGTGCAAGGAATAAACCCGGATTCTCAGCAACGTGGGGGAAAGAGAGACTTGCAGCGCCAGTGGCCAGGCAACCTCAGGCATGGGCCAAGGTAGGAAATGTTGCAAGAGGGTGACAAAGTACGTCTTTGGTGGTCAACTTCTGGAGGATGAATGTGTGTATGCATGCGTGTGCAAAGGACCTTCAGAAGGGAAAAGGGAAGGAACAGGTCAACCTTCCAGGGCTGGAAAGGTGAGACATTCCTAGCTTGAGGGGTTGGGCATTCCAGGGCTGGAAAGGCCAAATGTCCCTAGCTTGAGGGGTTGGGCCATCCAGGGGCAGAAAGGCAAGACATCCCTAGCTCAAGGGTTTGGGTCTTCCACTGGTTTCAGGAGATTAAACCCAACCAGTACCTGATATGGGTAATGCTTCCAGTAAAACAGAGACAGGAAGTAAAGCTGACTCCAGCGATCAGTTTTCTCCTGACAGCCCTTTAGGACGTATGCTAACAAATTAGCAGGAAAACAAAAGGACTAAGGGTAAGAAAAAAGCAACAAATGATGAAATATTGCTGTTTATTTGGACCAAAGAACTGATCCTCAAGCCTACAGTTGTCTGGCCAGAATTTAG